TATACGACCTTTCACAAAGAAGGAAATCTACTCTACTATTTGCGAGATGCACCCTTGCAAAGCCCCCGGCCCTTACGGTCTTCATGCTATCTTCTACCAAAAATTCACGCACATCATCGGGGATGACATTGCTACTATTGTGTGCAACATTCTTCATGGCACTGTTTCTCCGGCAGAATTTAATTGCACCAACATAGTGTTGATTCCTAAGGTAAAAGAGCTCCGTAGTATGACTGAATTTAGGCCGATCGCTCTCTGCAATGTGCTGTATAAAATCGCCTCGAAAGCCATTGTAATGCGCCTAAAGTCTATCCTCTCGAATGTTATTTCTGAAAATCAAAGTGCCTTTGTTCCAGGGAGATTGATCACCGACAATGCCCTTGTAGCTCTGGAATTATTTCACACCATGAAGAAGAGGAACAAAGGTAGAAAAGGGACGATAGCGATGAAGTTGGACATGAGCAAGGCCTATGACAGGGTAGAGTGGCCTTTTCTGGAGAAGCTACTGTTAAAGATGGGTTTTACTGCTAGTTGGGTGAAGACGATTATGAGTTTTGTTTCGACGGTCTCCTATTCCTTTGTCATTAATGGCATTGTCAGTGGGGATGTGAGGCCATCGAGGGTTTTGAGGCAAGGCGACCCTCTATCGCCTTATCTCTTCATCATAGTCGCTGATTCTTTTTCTAGTCTTATCAATAAGGTCGTTCTGTAGGGAGGGATCCATGGTGCTCGGGCTAGCAGGAATGGCCCAAAAATTTCACACCTTTTCTTTGCTGACGATATTTTGCTTTTTTCTAGAGCCAACCGAAGAGAATGCTCGAAGATTGTTGATATTCTCAACCAGTACGAAGCAGCTTCCGGACAAAAAATTAATTATGAGAAATCGGAGGTCCCTTTTAGCAAAGGTGTATGTGAGTCAGTTCGAAAAGACATTGTGGAATTTTTGGGTATGAGGATTGTTGATGAACATGGGAAATATCTTGGCATCCCGACTATTATTGGTAGATCGAAGAAAGCGGTGTTCTGTGCTCTCAAGAATAGAATCTGGAAAAAATTGCAAGGTTGGAAGGAGAAACTGTTGTCTCGAGCCGGAAAGGAAACTCTCATCAAAGTGGTTATCCAAGCCATTCCATCTTACATCATGGGGGTCTATAGAGTACCGAGCTCTATTATTGATGATATTAGATCCATGACAACAAAATGTTGGTGGGGTCATTCGAGTAATCGCCGCAAGGTTCACTAGGTGAACTGGGACGCCGTGTGCAACCCGAAGATGTTCGGTGGCCTAGGCTTTAGAGATATGGCAGTCTTCAACGAAGCTCTGCTTGGCAAACAAGCCTGGAGGCTTATCTCTAACCCGGAGTCGTTATTGAGCAAAGTCTTGGGTAAGAAATACTTTCCTAACTGCTCTTTTTTGGAATCTTCTCTCGGCCTATCTTGTATCTACTCGTGGAATAGCATTTGGGGTGCAAAGGCCTTAGTCAAGGAGGGGCTGATTTGGCGTGTGGGAAATGGCAGTTGCATTAATATTTGGGAGGACCAATGGGTAGCAGATGAAAATGGTTCAAAAATTCTCTCCCCTCGCTTGGATTCAGTGGAGTTTGTCAGCGATCTCATTGACTTTGAGACAATGGATTGGAATCATGAGTTATTGGCTAGCACTTTCAATGATCGGGACTTAAGGTGCATTCTCTCGATCCCAATTAGTATAAGAAATCCGGTGGACAGGATTACTTGGGCATTTTCTAATGACGGCTTTTACCCGTGAAAACTGCCTACATGCTAGGCAAATCATGTAATATCGACCCGTTCCATCGCACTTGGGTGAATTTGTGGAAGTTGGAAACAACCCCCAAGGTTAGGCACTTGATTTGGAGGGTCATCACCAACTCGCTGCCTCTGCGTGCCCTGCTAAAGTACAGGCACATTGTAGAAGTGGACTCCTGTCCCTGGTGCTCAGCTGAAAGTGAGACTCTGCATCATGCTTTTTTCACATGCCCTGCTGTCTATGATCTGTGGAGTACTGCTGAGTGTGACAAGCTGGTGAAAATTGATGAACACCCCGACTTCAAGGACCTGTTTGAAGCATGGGGGAGCGAGGACACTAAGACCAAACAACGAGGTGCAGCTCTTCTTTAGCTTATATGGGAGAGGCGCAACAACAAGATTTTTAATAACAAGGAAATTTCTCATAACACTGTTCTTATGCGAATGATGAATCTCGTGGAGGACTACAACAAATACAACAAAAAGATCTATGGCTACAAATCCCCTAAGCCTCCTAGGAGCTCAAAAATCTGGAAGCCTCCCTCTCATAACTGCATTAAGGTGAATTGCGACGCAGCTCTAAACATCAAGGGGTGGGTGGGGCTTGGTGCTGTTGCCCGTAACAATTTGGGTGAGGTCTTGTTTGCTGGAGTGAGAAGATACAAGGCTCACTGGACCCCTGAGCTTGCTGAATGTAAAGCCGCTGTGTTTGCCATCAGATTGGCAAAGCAACATGGGTTCAAAAATGTTATCCTCGAGTCTGATAATAGCACCATAATCTCTCGGCTTTCAAAGGCTTCCACGTATCTCTCGGATCTTGATACCTTGCTTGATGATGTTCTAGATATGTGCTCTTTCTTTGATTCTATCTCTTGGTCTCATGTAAAGCGGGAAGGGAATTTTGTGACTCACCATTTAGCTCGTGTCATCCCGTATGATACAGAGCAATTATGGTCGAATTGTTGTCCTAGCGATATAGCTTCTTATGTACTAATGGACAAATTATCCTCTTCTGAATAAATAAAAATTCCCCTGCTTTTCTTCAAAATATATATATATATATATATATATATATGGTTCTTAAGGCTCAAATCTTCTGTAACCAACTCTACATAATAAAAAGAAATCCAAAAAATTTCGACACTAAAGGTAAAAAAAATGAAATTTTAATCTTTTTTTTTTCTTTTCCTTTTTCCTTTCTTTTTTCCTTCTTTCCTCACCTTTATAAATTAGTGACATAGGCCAAGCGAAAAGAGATTCTCGAACATTACAAACTGTAGAATTTGAACTAAAGACAAACACAACTTACGCCCCGTACTTCACTTCACCTTATTTTTTATGGCTAAAAATTATTTTTACTAAATTAAAATTATTTTTATTGAAATAAAATTAATTTTACTGGATTAAAATTATTTTTGATGAACAAAAATTATTTTTGCTATAATGTATTATATTTCTTCTTTCAAGTTATTGATTTATACTAAACTGAAATTATTTTATTTGAAATGAATTGAACTGAACTTATTTTTATTAAACTGAATTTATTTTTGCTGAACTAATTTTTTTTTTTTTTTTTTTTTTATGGTGAAGTAAATCGGGCCTTATATCAAATTTATTAATTTTACTGATTAAACGTATATAGTGATTAATTTGTAAAGTCAAAGGAAGTGAATATGATAAACATGACCTTGGAATTAATATAACACCACTTGATCTACCTTTTCAATTTAATTTTAATCAAACTAGTCCCACCCCTAACTGGTCATTTGGTCCTAATTTAACATCAAAAACAACAATATTTGACTTAAATTTTTCATACTACTATGTTTGACAATTCAATTATAAGCGATTAGGCGTCATGGCTTGCAAATTTCCAATCATACGATCATAATATTATTTCTTTAAGCAGGATAAATGACGGATTACATAAACCAATATTGGAATCTAACCATGTGAAAATGTGAACTTTGACTATTATTTTTCATTAATCTATTTTTGTACTACACATAATATTTATTTATTTTTATTTTTAGGTTGTGAGAGCATCATCAACAAGGACCTCAACCACGACAGGTTTCTTCTTATTAGAGGATCATCACTTAAGAAATGAAAATTAATAGAAGGATCATCATCATTTACGGTTTGTTTAGATAGCAAAGTGGAATAAAAAGGGAAGGGCGGAAAGAAAAAGGAAGGAGAAAATAGTGTTGTACTTTCCATCCAAATGTTTCTAATGTTGAAAGAATTTGTTTTATTATAAAGGCGGGAACAAATGAATTCTTTCATTTCCCTTTCCTCCTAGACTTCTACGTACCAATGGCACTAGGTATTTAAACAAGGGAGGGATGGAATGCTCCTGTCCCACCTTTTTTTTTTTTTTTTTCCTTTTGTGTGTGTGTTTTGTTTCCTCTCCGCTTCATTTTTCTCCAATTTTATCAATCCAAATCAAGTGTACTTTAAGAAAACAAAAAATACAAAGTATCATTTCTCTCTCTTCTACTAGTATAATCTTTTGTAATAATTTGTACATAGGTTTTGTCAGAATTGTCTTAATGCATGATTTGAAAAAAAAAATAACAAATTAAAAAAATTTATTCAACAATAAATTAAAATATTACTCCGTAAATAAAATGGAGGAAATAGTAATTGAATTTTACAAAAAATTATGTGAAGGTAGACTATCATATTGTTCAATTTAAATTTTAAAGCTTAAACAAAAAGTTCAAGACCTTCAATTTCAGGTACGGCAATCTAACTTTTACTGCAAATTTTTGTCATAAAAATAATTACAAATTTCATCCCATATTGATGATAATCCAAAAGTTTGTTATTCCTCTCTCTTGTGTACTTATTTTTTCAATATACTCTTTTCTACCCAATCATAATTTCTCTTCAATTTATTATTTTTTCAAAACGTGTTAACGTGGGTATCTAATTAAAAATGTATTTTTTGAGTAAATTAGCCCTTAAATTAATAAAGCTAATTTAATAAGTAGCTGCTGAATGACTTTGGATCATGACTCAATGCAAATTCTTTGGCATAAAATTGATAAATTATTATATATTATTTGTCATGACATGAAATGTCAGAATGATTGAATAATGGGATTATGGGAGGCATCATATTTTTTTTCTAATCATTATTTTTATCTGAATCATGTAATTAGTCATAGAAAATTACTTAAATAGTAAACAATTATTAAACTACTTATGTAAAATAATCTCTTGGTCAAAGCTAAAAGTCAACAAATGACACACACAATAAAAGAGTATGTCATATTGTAGAAAACACCTACAATTCTACAAAGGTTGTTAAGAGAAGCAAGTCATTGCACCATCTAAGTCTTTAGATCTACATATATAAATATGTGAATCTTAACACAAACTTACCTCAAAAAAGTCGTACTATCATATAAGGTAGCTAGACCATCATATTGCTAGTAGAAATTAAACTTGATCGATCAAGTCATATTTTATATCATATAAGGTAGCTAGACTATCATATTGGTGGTAGCAACTCAATCGAGCAATCGATCATGGAGGTTGAGAAGAATGAGAACGTTAAGAACGGCAACATTCTTAAGGATGAGAATAGTTTAAAGAAAGAAAAAGCTCTTAATGATTGGCTTCCGATCACGGCTAGCCGGAAGGGAAAGTGGTGGTATGCTGCCACTCATAATGTTACTAGTATGGTTGGTGCTGGTATTCTTGGTTTACCTTATGCTATGGCTCAACTTGGATGGTATGTACACTTTTTTTTTTTTCATTTTCTTGCCAAATTTATTTATATAGTTTCCTATTCATATAGCAACCTATTTAATGTTTGATAAAGTAGTTATATATTATTTTTAATTAATAATAGAGTTAAATCTAGTTAACATTTGCATTAAAGTGAAAATTATAAAAAGGTGGTTTTGGCCTTATTACATAGTTACATAACCACTATTATTTATCTCCTCCGTCCCTTAATACAATGTCTCTTTTGAGCATTTATTCCTCACATAATAAAGAGAAAGAGACATTGTATTAAGGGACAGAGGGAGTATTTTTTTATGTTGTAATTAATTCTTAACCGATACTTGGTAACATGATATTGCAATTTCCTACTCCGTATTTATTTATCTATATAATTATGAGATGTATATTCCATCCATATATATGAAGGTTATTGACTTAATTTGAATTTAAAGAAGTAATATTCTGATTATTAGATGATTAAATAAGTTGATGTAATAATTAAGAATAATTTTAATTCTATATCTAAATTTCATCAAGGTTATTAAAAGTTGGGAATATGTATGGAAAGGATCGATTCACCTTAAATTTGTAATTTAGAATCTAATTATATCGTTCAATTCTGATTGTTAGTTTCCATACAACTCACTCGGTGATCTAATCTAAAGTGTCGTGGATCATCTAGGTGTTGATCTGGGGCAATCTGTAAATGACAATAGCTTCGCATCATAGTGTATGTTTGTATGATGTGGACATCCAAAAATCAAAATTAGTGGATCTATATCATTTCCATTGTGACTCTCTAAAACAAAGTATGACTGATTGTATGATGAGAAATGATTTAATATATTTCAGGGGAGCAGGTGTGACAATCTTAGTAATGTCATGGGTAGTAACGCTATACACACTATGGCAAATGGTAGAAATGCATGAGATGATACCAGGGAAGAGGTTTGATAGGTATCACGAGTTGGGGCAATACGCATTTGGAGATAAATTGGGATTATGGCTTGTTGTGCCGCAACAATTGATAGTTCAGGCGGGTTGTGACATTGTTTACATGGTTACAGGAGGTACTTCACTCCAGAAGTTCTATACTATTGTTTGTCCGCATGGAAAACACATCAAGCTCACTTACTTCATTATGATCTTTGCTTCCGTTCAGTTCTTCCTTTCTAATTTACCTAACTTTAACTCCATCACTGGTGTCTCTTTTGCTGCCGCGGTTATGTCTCTCAGGTAAGTTTTTGTACCCTTTAAATTTTGTTATATATATTTTAGAATTTCATATTTCGTGTATATAAAAGTTTTAAATTCTTGCTTTGATTTATAATCTCTTATATTATCCCAATATATAACTAAAAATATAGTTATATAAAATCTTTGATTCATGTTAACTAGTCATTAAAGAATGTTTTTACTTATAATATTGATGAACGATTAAAAAGTATACATAGTGTGGTATAACAAAAATGGAGAAGCTACTTGTGGAATAATAGAGTGAATTATGTTTATAACTTGGATTTACATTGCTTATGAACTGTCCAAGAAAAGTAAAGAGTCTAATATTCAGTTTTTGTAATAGTTTTGTTAGAGGACTAAGTCAATCAAAAGGTTAAGCTGATGGTGAGATCCAAAAATATGTTTTATACTCTATCATGCCCCCTCAAACGGGAATCCATTTGGGCTGAAACTCCTCAGATTTTTCGTTACGTGAAAAATAATGATGAAAAGTAAACGGTGAGTAAACCAAAAGGATTTAGGACTTTTATAACCCTTGTCTACGTTGAATATTCGTCGAGGGAAACATGGACTAAAACTTGAAAAGTCCAAAAAATAACAATTTTAAAAAGGAACAAAAGTACGTAATCAAAAAGACTTTGAATGCATATTTGTTGGACTTATTGTATGAATCAAATACTGACTTTAACTTCTCTAAAATCTCTATTGAATATTCTTTTTTTTTTTAAGAAAATCTCTATTGAATATTCTATTCCTACTCTTTCATTTGTTATTTTTTTTCTACAAGATATTTGACATTATTGGCTAATTTTATGAATATTACCCATTTACCCACCACCCTTGATTTTTTTTTCGATGGTTACATTTTTTGTTATTCGATGAAAGACCGGATGAAATCATCTAATAGGACAACGTAACCATATATATTTTTGGAAGAAAAGTGATCTAATAAAATAATACATCTTATGTTATTTAGTTGAAGTTTTTTTTTATATCACATTTATCAATATACAAATTTAACTCTTAATGTCTATAATTAGCGACAAAGAAACTTAACAAACAATTGATATAATAAAAACAACATTGAAACTATAGCAAAAGTTAGTAAAATAAAGTTTGTAAACAAACAAATATTAAAACGTGTTAACTAAAGAAATGGAGGTAGTATAATAAGTCATATATTTCAAACAAGGAAAAGTAAAAGAGTAAACCATTATCTTGAAATAGCTAAAATATAAAAAGCCTTACTATTATTTTATCACAGAAAAAGTATATAATACTGATATGAGAAAGTGATTTGTATTGATTTCAGTTATTCTGCCATTGCTTGGATAGCTTCATTGATAAAGGGTGTACAACCAGACACAAGTTATGGCAGTAGGTACAACACTCATGCAGGAGAAGTATTTGGATTTTTAAGTGGGTTAGGAACGGTTGCATTCGCTTTTTCTGGTCACAATGTTGTCTTGGAGATCCAAGCAACAATTCCTTCTACCCCGGAAAAACCTTCCAAAAAACCTATGTGGAAAGGATCTCTGCTTGCTTATATTGTTGTGGCATTATGTTATTTTCCAGTAGCTTTTGTTGGTTACCTTGTGTTTGGCAAACTCGTGGAGGATAACATTTTGATCTCACTTCAAAAGCCTAGTTGGCTCATTGCTACTGCCAATATCTTTGTTGTTATTCATGTTATTGGAAGTTATCAGGTAAGTCAAAATTATTATGTAGTTTTATTTAATTCTATAGTTTTGAATGAGTCATCTATAAATATTACTAAAGTAATAATCGCTGACGTCATCACTGCTTACATGTCACTTTCTTACTTAATTTTTTCCCGTCATAATGCAATGATGATGTCATATTGTTTTTTTTTTCCTTTTTGAGCTACCCTATTTAACATTGTTTTGAAAATTAAATTCAAATTGAATTTTAAAATTTAAATTTTCTACGTATATTACGCTATTTTATTATTTACAAGTAGCTGTTAAAAATAGTTAATAATATAGTTTAATTGAATCTGAAAAAAAAAATATGAAAAAATGGATTTTTGGAAACTATATATTCATATTTAATTAGAAAGTACTACAGAGAAAGTAGTTGTTTTCTCTCAACAGTCAACATGTGCTTAAGAGTATATAATTTATTTTTATTTAAAAACCGTGCATCGCACGGGACTAATCTAGTTAAACTTAATATATGCCAGGTCTTTGCAATGCCGGTTTTTGATATGATGGAAACTTTCCTTGTGATGAAAATGAAATTCAAACCTAGTAGCACACTTCGTCTTGTCACTCGTTCTACATATGTTGGTAAGTTGTTTTTTTAAATATTATATAAAATTCGATATGTTGACGTCCTATTTTATGATGATCTTTTAAAAAATAAGTTAAAATAAAAATAGTATTACATTATATTGATTTTTTTTTTTTTGAAAAAATAATGCATCATATTGATTAAGTAAATTATAATTTGTAAATATTAATTATTGGTATGTGGTGATCTTGTTCGATTTTTCTTTTATCCTAACTGTCCTAATAAGAGCTTGATTATGAATTATCTTATGATCTTTTATGTAGGTTTTACCATGTTTGTGGGAATTGCATTCCCGTTCTTTGGTTCCCTTCTAAGTGTGTTGGGGGGAATTGCTTTCGCACCCACTTCCTATTATGTAAGTCTCTAATATTAATACATACATAGGTCATATACCTGTATTTTACTTGTCTAATATTAACGCGCGCTAATTTTATTTAATGTAGTTACCTTGCATAATATGGCTGATAATATGCAAGCCCAAGAGATATAGCTTATCCTGGTATTGTAACTGGGTAAGTTTACTTCAAAGCTTATTTTGAATCTAAAAATTTCAATTCTTCCTAATAATTCGATTTAAGTCTAATAAGCTATTCTTTTTGCCATTGCAGTTCTCTATCATTTTTGGTGCTTCATTAACTATTTTAGCCCCTATCGGTGCTGTGAGGGATATCATAGTTCAATCTAGTACCTACAATTTTTTCTCTTAAATCACTTTTATATTTTACTACCCAGAAATATTAAAACTTAATACCGCTATTTTTAATAGCTAATCACACGTGTCACTAATTATAATGCACTCATTATGAGATTGTACTTTTGAGATTGTACTTAACTTGTCTAGGGATAAGCCATATATGTGTTTAAACATGATCCAAAGCTTGATGGTGCTATAAACTACAACATTTTGAATATTTTGTTCTCATTTGTCAATGTTTCTTATGTTTAATTTGTCTTTCAATAAGTTGATATATACATAAAGAATGAAAACTCGAGAAATTCTCTATCGATAATTTTTTCTCTCCAATTTGTAATAATCGTAACAAATTCATTATTTATCTATTTCGTAATAATTGCAATACTTCCTTATTTTATAAGGACTCAAAGTCCCAAACTAATACTATGTGTATTATTTCTCTTTCCTACTAACCCAACTTACACTATTTTTTTATTTGTTCTCTTATTAACAATAAAATAAATTCCACCTAAATATACTTTATATGTAGAGAAACAAAGGGAAATTGATGTGCAAAGAGATCGGATAAATTCTTCAAGGCACGTGATAAACGCTTTGCTATCGACTCTCTTTAGTACAACTGAGTTACATGATAAAACTATAGAGGTACATTTTGCTTGTTCTTACAAAACTAATTCAACAAAGTTTGTGTGGAAATGAGTTTGTTTTCACTCCAATAAAAAAACTGCAGATGTCTCTCAAAGCAAGCAAGAATGATTTTGTAATTCTTCTCCCATCCATCATAAATGTAAATATGAAGAGAAATTACAATCCAACAGATATGTTCGTTTACAAAACAATCCGTATAAAAACTGTAAAAAAAACTGTCAGTTTTGAACTTCGCCCGATCAGATAGGACATGGGTTCTCGATCGGGCGCACAAAGAACTTTGGAAAACATGTTAAAACTGGCAGGCATAGACGCCCAGTCAGGCACGAACAACATCTCAATGAAAATCGAAATATTGACTATTGTAGAGAATAATTCAAGCCATCCTACACTTGAGCCCCACTGTGATCATACACTTAAGCATGGTGTCGTCCAAAGGGAAGGAAACTAGAGTAAAAGAGTCGTCAACAAGTTTTTGGAACTTGTAAACCGTTCACAGGGTGAAGGTTACACCCCTTAACAATCCAGGAGATCGTTAACTCCAATAGGTCTGGAACCATGACTGGAAGTTCGGGGATGAAGGTACAAATCCAAACTAAAAGAGATTGAATCTGCTCTAAAAATAGGCCTCTACTTTATTCTTCTCGTATTCATGTGCGCTTTCTGACTAATATGCAATCAATAGATTAACCCGAAACCTGTTTATCTATGTTGGTTGAATATTAATGCACAAATAAAACTATTATTGGCTATCACTTGAATTATAATCAAATTAACCCTAAATAAGATTATTAATTATCTTATTAAGCGTGATTACAAGTACAAATTTCCTTTAAACATGCATAAAAGGTGTGATCAATCAATAACAATAATATAACATATCAAGCAACATAATAATAACCATAATAATGATTATAATCATAGTCATGTTAAAGTATAAGTATTCTGAAGTCAGCCGGAGAGAGCGTGCAGCAAGCTGGAGCGGGCGCTCCTGGCAGTGAAGCGAGCGATCCTCGCAGTGGAGCGGGCGCTTCTTCGCTGGGAATGCATTTTCTTTTGACGGATTTATCCCTATGTGTTTCGGGGAGTATAAATACTTCCCCTTTAGTTCAGTTGTAGAGGCACATAAATAGCCTAGTTTTTAGAAACTCTCTTAGTTTGAAACATTAATTTAGCTTAGTTTTCATCAAATTAATCATTTGTAATAGTTGGTTTTAAGATTCATCCTCAAGATTTGGCACTTTGTATTCAAAATTTTCAAGATTCAATTAGTAACTTCCTTCTACTTTTCTCCATTCAATTTCTGATTTTATTTGTTCTTGCATGATATTTAAATCTTCTTAGTTCTTGATATTTTGTTATTGGATGATAGTTATTTCAATTGTTAATCACTTTTCCCCAATTATTGAAAAAGTTAGAACCCTAATGCTTGTTTGCATGTTGATAAACATGAGTTGTGAGTAGTCTTCTTGCTAGGGGTTGGGTGAAGCTCAACCTTTTGGGTTAATTATGAAAATGTGGGAGAAGCATTGATGTTTGTATTTCAATTAAATTGATTATATGAGATTGCTTGTTAGTTCTTCATGATAGGATTAGCTACCCTAGACTTAGGAGTTTGATAGCATGATATGCTTAGTTTGACATGGGAATGTAAATTGAGTATGTCATTACTTATTGCAATTTGATTATGTATCATCTATTTCTAGACTAATGAGGAATCTAAGTTTAGTAGTGTGAGTTGTTTTCTAATTGCATGAGGTCGATTTTACATATAGTCCTTGCTATACCTTGTCTATTTTACTCCCCGTTTGCTGATTGCCTTGGTTGAGTTAATCCCATTCTCTAGTGTCTTTAATCCATCTATTTAGAATCATATTTTGTTTGTCTACTTGACAAACCCCAAATTGACCATAGACTTTGAATTATCTTAAGTGTTAAGATCTTTAGCAACCATATCCCGTTCCTTGAGGACTGAACTCTTACTTCCCCGTTCCCAAAATTACAACTCGAAAGAAGATAAAAACTCTAGTATAAGGACATTAAGAACACTCTAATTAACTTGTGTGGAATTGACACTTGACTCAAATAAAAGCTAGAAAACTTATGTGAGCAAGGGTGAGATTTTCCATCTGAAATCAATAGCTATTTATAGATTGTAAAACGTTTTGGAAAATCATCTTTGTGCAGCAACACTATTATACCACTACTTATACCCACTAAGAGGATCATGTTCCTTAAATTAAGGAACCATGAACTCCTCAATGTGCAAAACCATGACGGAAGAAGAACATGGGAGAGTAGACCGCAAGTTTTAGAAAACATGGTGATTTTATTTTTTTTCAAAAGATATTTTCGAAAATAAGAAAATAAAATAAAATATTTTTGCTCAAGATATTTTCGAAAATCAGAAAATAAATAAAATCTTTAAGTTAAGAAAAGATAATCATTTAACAACTTAACCAATTTCCTAATTTCTAGCATGCACAATATTTTCTCTTAAGACCAATTCCACACAGAATTTTCGAGTTTAATTAACTTCTTATACTTACACAAATCATAAAATATAGAAATATATTTAGTCTTCATGTTCTCAGATGAAGCTTCTACTCCGAGGCTTCCTGTTCCGTGGAAGGAACTTCTCTTCTCTGATGAGGCTTCTTCTCTGAAGCTTCTGTTCCCTGAGGAGAACCTTCTCTTCTCAAATCTTCATTTCTGAAGCGCCAGTTCCTATGAGGGAACTCTTCTATATGGATAGCTCTGCTTCTGGCCTTCTTGTTCCTCATGGTATTTTTACAAGACACTTAATTCTCCTGGTCTTTGTAAGTGAGTACACACTTAAACAATCAAGCACTTATTAGTTTGTAAGTAAGTGAGGTTGTGTCATCATCAAAATCATTAAGTCTAACAACTTTGGTGTAGCAGGCCACACGGTGTGGCAGTGCTGCCAAGTCAGTAAAATAACGGATTCAGACGCGTGCATAACGGGGTTACTATTCACGCGCATAACGGGATTACTAGTTTTGTCAGGGTTATTTGTATTTTTCAGGGGTTACTTGTATTTTTTTGTTCAGGGGTTACTTGTATTTTTTTAGGGGCTACTTGTATCGATTACTTATTCATGGGTTACTTGTATTTTCAGGGGGTTACTTGTATTTTTTTCAGAGTTATTGTATTTTTTTTCACGGGTTACTTGTATTTTTTATTTTTTTCTGGGGGTTACTAGTATGGGTTATTTCAAGGGTTACTTGTATAAGTTACTTATTCAAGGGTTACTTGTATGAGTTACTTATTCAGGGGTTACTTGTATGAGTTACTTATTCAATGGTTACTTGTTACTTATTCAAGGGTTACTTGTAGGCTCCATACCAAACCAGTAACACCCTACAAGTAACCCTTGACCAAAACCAGTAACACCCTACAAGTAACCCCTGACCAAACCAGTAACACCCTTCAAGTAACCCTTTACCAAAACCAGTAACATCGTACAAGTAACCCCTGACCAAACCAATAACACCCTACATGTAACCCTTGACCAAACAAGTAACACCCTACATGTAACCCCCGACCAAACCAGTAACACTCTACAATTTTTGACGTAGAATGTTCGATCTAATTAGATTCCACAAAGAAAACGAGCTCAAATTTCTTTGGTTCTCATCGATTCACTACTTCAAATGTTGTTGATGATCTTAAGCAAAATTAATCACATTTTTCACAACAATTTGGCACCCAATTTCTACAATTTCGGGCTTTAATTGCATCAATTTGGCAAAGAGGACAGAGAAAATGAGTGGAGTAAAGATATGGTCGTTGGTGATGTGTGGTTTGGCTTGAAAAAGAAGCTAAGAAAAGAGGAAAGAGAAAATGGGTGGAGTAGAAAAATAGTTGTTGGTGATGTGTTGTTTGGCTTGAAAAAAAAGTTAAGAAAAGAGGAGAAAGAAGAGTTGTGGTATTTAAAAATAATCTAATATATATATAAAGGGGAGTTTTTCCCCGAGTTTTTAGAGAGCCACGTAGGATTTAATTTTCTTAGCGCGCCACGTAGGATTGTAAATTTAAGTTGTAACCAATTAAATAAGAGATTATTAATTTCTTTTATAATTAAATAATTCAAATGCCACGTAAGCAAAATTGGCGAATGATATTTTAAAGTTTAAATTAATTAAGTACAAAATATTATCTTTTGAGGTTAGGAATTTTATCTAATATTTTAAAACTAATATAATAACAATTTTAATCACATAAATATGATTTTTTTTTAAAAAAAAAATACTAACAAACCGTGCATCGCACGGGATTTATAAGTATATATATAGGGGAGTTTTTTGGAGTTTTTAGAGAGCCATGTAGGATTTAATTTTTTTTAGCGCGCCACGTAAGATAAATAATTTTAGTGGTAGCCAATTAAATACGAGATTATTAATTTCTTTTAGAATTAAATAATTTAAATGACACGAAATATATAAGAAATTTTAGCACATAAATATATTTATGTTGTAAAATAAAGAGAAATATAAGAGAGATTGATAGAGAATATATTTGTTCATATTATTCCATATGATCGGGGTATATATATACATAGAATATT